CAAATAGAAGAAAGCACAAATCTAGGCAGTATAACTTTTGAAGTGGGGGGTCAGATGAGCTTGTACGCAAATTTTCAGGAAAATCCATGCTATCCGAAAAAATTGGGAGCTTTTACTTTATTTTCGCTTTCAGTGATTGGACTGTACATATAGTTTGCCTGTTGTATATTATTATATTATATATATTATATTACAGTTTCATATTTCCAATTCCATGTATTCAGTTTACCCTTTCCAGTTTTACTTTCTCGGTTTTTCAGACGAAATAAAAAAGACTGGAAAAGTGAAACTGGGGAATTACATTTTCCCGTTTCAACTGTTCAGTTTTATAATTCCAATTTCAGTTTTGCCGTTTGTTCTTTCCAGGTTTTAACGATCTAATTTCGCTAAGGGCGTAATCTGGATAAATAAAATTTGAAAAGGTAAACTGTAAGGGGTAAACAGGAAAAATTAAATATTAAGCTCGAAATTGGAAACTAAATCTGGAAAGATGAAACTTGAACAAATAAACTGGAAATATTAAGCCAGAATTGTAACCTGGAAATGGCAAACTGGAAAAAACAAATAGTAAAACTGGAAAGGATAAAATGGAAAAGTAAATTGGTCAAGCTGGAAAATGTAACTGGAAAGATAAAACAGCAAACCCGAAACTAGAAAGACCAAACTAAAAAAAATAAACTGGCAAGAGTAAACTGGATGGGCAATCTGGAAAGGGTAATCTGGAAAGGAGACACTGGTAAAGGTAAATTGTAAAAGTCAAATTGGAAAGAGCGATTTGGATTTTTTGATAAAATGGAATGGAGAAATTTGAAAAACGAAACTGGCAAGGTGAAACTGAAAGAGAGAAACCAAAATCAATTTGAAATTGGTATATTGAAAAAAAAAAACGGAAATGTGAAACTGTAAAAGGTAAACTCGAAAGGCTAATTTAGGGAAAGTGAAACTGGCAAGGGCAAACTGGAAAAGTGAAACTGTAATCTAAAATTATTTTGAATACTGGGAACTAAATATTGGAAAACGGAAAACAAAACTCAAAACTCGTAGAAACTGGAAATGGAAAACTGGAAAGCATAAATTGGAAAAGTGAAATGCAAATGATTCGTTTTCCGAGATACGGGGTGTCAAAGTTTACGACGATTTAATTTATTGCTCTGAAACCGGTGAAGATGTGCAAATGAAATTTGGTGGGTTTTAAGAGGTAGTTATTGCGCATTTTTTGACATGCAATTAAGAATTTTATGTTCATCATTGGCGCGCGTACGGGTAATAATCTCAATTTTTTAAATAAAAAAATGGTACGCCACTGAGATATTACAAATTAAAATATCATCAGTTTTGAATTCCTCGTTCAATTTGTGACAAAAAATCTCTCTTGCCTTTTCTTCGTATAGAGAAATAAAAAATACGCGTTAAGATGTTTTATTTTTTTTGCATCAAAACGACGCCCCATACGAAGAAAAGGCAAGAGAGATTTTTTGTCACAAATTGAACGAGGAATTCAAAAATTAAAAATTTAATTTGTAATATCTCAGTGGCGTATCATTTTTTTTCTTTAAAAAAATTGAGATTATCACCCCCTGAAATTTGTCGTACTTATTTACTAACACCCTGTATATCCGCCTTTATCTTTAGACAACGACGAGTTCCGCGAATAACGCTCTATTCTTTTACACTCAAGGCTTTTAATTGGCAACATTTTCGCGACACTTTAGACGAAATTGCATCCTCGCTGGCTGCGTTACATCACCCCCTCGCGTCTCGTCTCGTATCTCGCAGCACATCTGCGCCCGTTAGTCACGTTCTTTTTCTAATTACAGAGCCCGTAAAGTCGTACACGCTGTTCGAGAAGAAAGGGAAACGCAGACGATTCTTGCGAATCCGTCTGGAATGGCAATGAATGAGGTCACCAGCCGAAGATGATGCGAAATTGCCACTCTGAGATTACCAAATAGCGTTTAATGAATTCGAAGGCTCGTTAAAAATGAGTTATTATGCATTGTGATGGGATCCGTCTTGGGAAGGTCGCGCAAGGTAACTATTTAATAATGTCTAAGTGTGTTTAATTGTTCGAGTTCCTTCCCTGTTAATTTGCTTGAAATTGCTGATATACGGGGGGGGATCAAAGAGTGATCTCTGCCAAAGGTGATAATAGAATAGCAAGAATACAGGATATTTTTTTAATTATTGTACAACAATTTTAATACAGGGTGTTAATGAAATTATGTCAAAAATTTTAAGGGGTGAAAAAGGAGCAAAAACTGAAAGAAATCATTAATTATTAGCTGTTTACTAGATATTGGTGGTGTTACTCGATGCTTGTGGGGTTAGATTTAGGGAAATCGATGAACGACGAGCATTGTTTGCTTCATTTCATAAAATTAAAAAAAATAAATTTTTGAATTTGTTTGAAGTAACTCATACTTTTGGAATAGAGTAAAAAATGTTTTATTATGTTGCTAGGTTGGCAGTTGCCGACCACGACCAATAGTATTTTATATATTTTTTTGTTTGACAAAAATTTTATAAAAAAAGAATTCCCGAAACTCGAACCCTTAAATAACTCTTCAGTGAAAGAGCAAGAAAGAAATTGTAGGATTTCAAAAAAACAATTTAACGGTGACCTTGCTTTGACCTTGACTCCAATTTTTTAGGGATTTTAACTGTAGAGCAAAATGTTGCAAGGAATATCAGTAGTACTTTTAATGACAAAATTGGTGACCATTTATTTGCCCTTGACCTTACGTTCTTGGTCAAATCAAAGTCAAATTGAAAATTTTGAAAACTGTATTTTTTATGTCAACGTCAATAAAGCACCAAACATCAATAAAGCTCCAAACAAACATTAATAAAACACCAAACAGCAATAAAGCACCAAACATCAATAAAGCACTAGACAAACATTAATAAAACATCAATAAAGCACCAAACAAACAGTAATAAAACACAACATCTCAATAAATCACTAAACATCAATAAAACACCAAATATAAGTAAATCACCAAACAAACATTAATAAATCACCAAACACCAACAAAACACCAAACAAACATTAATAAAACACTAAATATCAATAAATCACCAAACATCAATAAAACACCAAACAAACATTAATAAAACACCAAATCAATAAATCACCAAACATCAATAAAGCACCAAACAAACATTAATGAATCACCAAACATCAATAAAACACCAAACAAACATTAATAAAACACCAAATATCAATAAATCACCAACCATCAATAAAGCACCAAACAAACTTAATAAACCACTAAATATCAATAAAACACCCAACATCAATAAAACACCAAACAAACATTAATAAAACACCAAATATCAATAAATCACCGACCATCAATAAAGCACCAAACAAACATTAATAAAACACTAAATATCAATAAATCACCAAACATCAATAAAACACCAAACAAACATTAATAAAACACCAAACATCAATAAAGCACTAAATATCAGTAAAACACCAAACAAACATTAATAAATCACCAAACATCAACAAAACACCAAACAAACATTAATAAAACACTAAATATCAATAAATCACCAAACATCAATAAAACACCAAACAAACATTAATAAAACACCAAATATCAATAAATCACCAACCATCAATAAAGCACCAAACAAACTTAATAAAACACTAAATATCAATAAATCACCAAAAATCAATAAAACACCAAACAAACATTAATAAAACACCACACATCAATAAATCACCAAACATCAATAAAGCACCAAACAAACATTAATGAATCACCAAACTTCAATAAAACACCAAACAAACATTAATAAAACACCAAATATCAATAAAGCACCAAACAGACATTAATAAAACACCACACATCAATAAATCACCAAACATCAATAAAACACCAAACAAACATTAATAAATCAACAAACTCCAATAAAACACCAAACAAACATTAATAAAACACCAAATATCAATAAATCACCAGTCATCAATAAAGCACCAAACAAACATTAATAAAACAGCAAACATCAATAAAGCATCAGACAAATATTAATAAAACACCAAATACCAATCATCAGTAATCAATAAAGTACCAGATAACATCAATAAAGCACCAAACACTAGTTTTATCCCGACGAGTTATCAAAAAGAGAGAAAAATTTTAGATTTCAATTAGCTTTTATAAAATACAAATTTATAAAACAAAAAATAGGAGTTCCTATTTGAAATTTTTAGGTTGACCTCGTTTTGACCTTAAAATTGGAGTCAAGGTCAAAGACAAGGTCACCACTAATTTTTTTTTAATCTTAAAACTTTTTTCTTAAACTTGTTTTGATAGAATTTCATCCGAAGGGTTATCGAGGGGTTCGGACCTTTTTTTGGGGCACCCGTTATATTATTTGTTATTTTGCCCACTTTAGATTTATTTAATTTTATTTTTAATTTTTTTCTTTTATTATTCTTATTTTCGACATTATTATTTTAAATGTTGTACGGTATTAGAGCCATAATGCCATCTACCACGAAAAATAAGTACACAACTAGAAATTACCAGTATCATCACTTATTGATGCCAACACAGATTAAATGTCAAATAAATATCATCTGAATGTAAAAAAATCGAGTTAAAGGCACCACGGGTGTTATAGGGTAATAATTCCGTTATTATCCTTATAGCACCCTTGATACCTTCATTACAATTTAATGTTTAGTTTTTAAATTGTATGCTGTAATACTACGTGAAAATGTAATTTCGTGTATTTTGCCTTACTTTTTTTTTTCTAAATTTTGGAATTTTTCTTCAAGTATTAATTTATAAAATCTTATTTGAGAAATTTCTTACAATGTTTCCGACACAAAACGACGGCATTATAAACAAATAAAAAAATGAAAATCCAATTTCTTACTTTACCTCACACTGATGAGTCCGAAAAAGTGCGAAACACAAGTCCTCTAGAAACCCTCCCTACACGAAATTTAAATTAATTTTCAATTGAAACGACTACGAGTATACCTTTGTTTCGCTTTATTAAACCAATATTTAGTTTATTACAAACCAATTTTTTAAAATATTTATTCATCTCGCCGTTCTCTCGACGGCCCAAGATCGACCAACTGACTTTCCTCCGTAACATTTTCATCGCCCGCACCGTCCATCAAGCTTTTGATCTCGTACATTGGATTTTCCAAGTAGATTTCCGACTTGGGAATCCTCTCCTCAGTCCCTGCGGCCTAAAAAAAGGAACGAAATGGATAAATCCGTGTTTTCAGAATAGACCTAAGTGCACAATGTCGGAAAACTCGCATAGGAATTACTCACCGCGCTTGCGCTGGACGTAGATGGCGCTGACGAGCCGTACATGGGATTGTCGAAGGATTTCTCCAAGCTCACCACGGACTCCGCCTTCTGGAGGACGAGTCTCTCGTCGTCCATCTTGTCGTACCTGGCGAAGAGCGTGGACAAGGGCCTTGAGGTAAAGTGGTACCTGTTAAGGTAAAATAAATTTTGATGAGGGGTAGCCTAAAAACAGTCTATTAGTGACTGTAGTATATCAATTCAGGCGCTCCTGTGCTTCTTGCTTAATTTTATGCGTAATGTACCTGAGTTTACGCACTAGTGCATGTTTTACTTGCAAATACCTCAAATTTGCCGCGACAAATTAAAATATTTTTTGAGCTATCGACTTTACACTCTAACAACAAAAATATTTTACGCGTAAAAAGTACTTCGCGCATAGTGAGGTACTTTACGCATGGCTGTTTAAACAAAACATTTTTTTTAAATGTTTTATTATGGTCTGGCTAAGGAAATGAAGGAAATCTGCAACGCAATGTTATAATAATTATGCAATAAGTGCGTAGGTTACTACTTTGTACATATGGAAGTGACTTAAAAGTAATAGAACTAGTGGGTGATGTTTTTCGGTTTAAGCGTTCGAGTGTTACGCTTATCATTTTACATGTTGAGGTGTAAAGTACCTGATTTGCGCTCTTCATTTTACGCATCGATGCGTAATGTACCTGGTATCCGGAATGCATCATGACAAATCCAAATATATTTTTTAAATTATTTAGTCTAGTTGCTAGTATGAAATAATTAGATTTTACAAAGCGTCAATTACGCACAATAAATTTAGTACTTTACGCACTCTAAGGTACTCTACGCCCAAGAATGGATATAAATAGAAATATATTGTTTGCCAAACAAATAATGAAGAAAACACACAATAGCGTGATTTGCGCACGGTGGCGAGATTTATTACGCATAATAAAGTACATTGCGCGCAATGACGTATTTTACGCAACGTAGGGTACTTTACGCACGTTGACACGGAAGGTTTCTTTAAAAATATAGCCAAAGAAACAATTAAGAAAATCTAGGAAAATCGAAGGAGCATATTGAAAAACAAAAACGTCACTGAATTTAGCTAAATGCAGATAATCATTAGGAAGATACGGTTAAATTAAATACTTCTTTTACCTGTTGCTCACGTTCAGCCTGTCGAATTGGGGCGAGTTGACGAAAAATATGACGCCGAAGACAAGAAGTACGCCACACAAACATCCGAATACTATGGAGACGGCTGTTCTCGCCATTTTTCCTCCGGCAAGTTTTATACCGGAAGAAATAAGCGCAGCGTTAACCACCCCAAAGGAATTGTCTAAAAAGAAAAATACAAAGTTATGAAAGTAACTGTTTTTTTTTATATATTTTTTCAATCTGTAAATAAATGTTCTATTTCACCTGTCAAAAGTACGGAGTAAAAATCTTTCGCGTCATCCAAGCTGCTGCCGCTGAATTCCTTTTCGGTGAAGATGATCTGGATGGCAGTTTCGGGCCCATCTTGGACCTTGCTGACGTGAGTGTCCGAAGAGTAGTCCCCGAGGGCTTTCCGGATCCTCTCTATCTCGAAATTAGCTTTGAACTCCGAGGAATTTGTGTTCTTTATCAATATGCTGGCTCCTGAAAGGTTATGCGCGCGCATTGAAATTAATTGTTTCTTAACTGTCGTCCAAGAGTGCCATTTTTGATTCTAGACGTTCGAGAATGCAAAAGTGACTTGGCAACAGTGCATCAAACGATATTATTTCGAAACTACTTAGAATTAAAAAAAAATTGGTGAAGGAAGGGAACAAAAACGATTTACGGCAAAATAATTTGATCGAATAACAATCATACTAACCGCACATCCTAGTGCAGAACCCGATGGGTGTAATGGGTTCCAGGCACTCGTAATATTGGGGCTCGTCGACGTATAGGCAGGCTCCATCCTGGAGGGAGTTCCCGCAAGAGCAACCGGTGGGGTCGGTGCAAGTTTTGCCGTCGACGTCGAGGTACGTGTCTAACATGTCCGAGAAGATGGCTGAAAGGAAGTGTTAGGTCTTTAACACCTGTAGGATGGCCCGAATTGCACACGCTAAACTTTACTTGGACATTTCCTTGACACATGACTTGTCAAACCTCGTTGATTCTCTCCGTATTGCAAAATGAGAAAGAAATGTGTCTATTATAATGCATATTTAGCGTTATTTGGAAATTTTATAAAGCGCGTTGCTCACTGCGGACGAGACAAGGCCTCACTGGCGCGCCAGTGACGTCATACTTACGAATGCTGGATTCGTCGATCTCCCTCAGGCCCCTGTTGGTCAAATATCGGTCGCCGAACTTGAACGAGTGGATTTTGAGCCGGTCCGAGTCTTCGAAAAGGAAGTATTCCACGTAGCAGGCGCTGGACTTCCAAGCTTTGGGAAAGACGACGTCGTCGTGGTGGCAGGGGATGCGCTCCAGGTGGGGGACGGCCGCGTTGAACTCGGCGCCCTCTAGTGTCCAGCTGGACGGGTCCAGCCACGAGTGGATGTCGAAGTCGTTCTTTATGCGTACGCCTGCGACAAAGATCCTAAAATGTGGTGTTTTAAAGCGAACGTTAAAAATATACAGGGCGTCCGCTTGAGAAAGGTACTGGATCTGAAACGTCCTGTACATTTTCACGAGTAGAATTTAAGTGCTTACAGTCCATCTGCTCGGTGAAATATTCGTGAAGGTAGATGCGTGTATTTTCTGGAAGATATATTTGCACGTAAGTAGGCAGTAGGATCTGTTTAACGTCCAAGTGGTCAACCACAAAGAACGAGTGAGAGGCTTCGCGTAGATCCAACCCTTCACATTGTTGCCCCGGTTTACCTCTCACCCAGTGTTGGGGGTTGGAGATGTCGTCGTCGTGCCTCCATACTTTTACGAGGGACTCTCCGAAGCTTACTGCAAAATGAACGATAACTCTTAACACTAAACAAATTTCATTAAAAAAGGGAGTAAAATTAAATGTTATAACAACCTATAAAAGCTAGAGATTCAGAATCGCTAACGTTACATTAGAAATGGAATATACTAGAGCCCCAAAATTGTAGGCAGTGACTAACTTTTGATTGGCCACTAACACTGGCTCACGAATCAATTTTAACAGACACAGTGTAATAACTAAAACGTGCAAGGAATAATACGTTTTCCACACTTGCACGCATATGACAAGAAAGGAAACGCCTAAGTTGGAAACTGGCGAATTACTCCAGTCATTGAAGGTAAAATACGGCATGTTTTTTCCCCAACAACACCGATTAGCACCAAAATTTGGATTTAGGTTCTACTTGCTCTTTACTTCAAAGTTGACCCAGTACCGGGGGTTGCTTTTTATTTTTTAGGGGTGAAAACTACCCCTATTCGAAAATAATTATAGAATTGTAGATTGGAGCGCGTAATAAGTTGAAATCATCTTTAAAACAGTAATTATGATGAATTGAAAATTGTCAATCCCTAAATGACAGTAATCATTAAAAAATAATGTTGAAAAATATTATTCAGCAACTTTGAATAATTTAATCATACATATAGTGATATTAAATTAAGATTTCTTTACGGTTTTAATTTTTTATTATTTATTTATAAGTTTCAACCCTTATAAATCACCCCTTGCAAAAAAAATCGAACATTTATTTTATGAAACCTTAAAAAAATCCTCTACTGATTAAAATTTGCAATCAAAAATAGGGAAAATAAGAATTTTACTTTTATATGGATTTCAATTTTTTGATTTTTATAACAATTTTTTTTTATTGCAAATAACATATAAATAATCAAAAATGTAAATACGTATGTGCCTAAAATATAGCTATAATGTATATTCATCATTGCTTCAATATACGTGTTCTGATATCTGCAAAAATATGTGATCGGTTTTTTACCCATAACTCGCTTAGTTTTTATGCTATCAAAAAACTGTTTTGTAGGTTTTTTAAGGGCTGTAAGATCAAATAAGTTAAATTTTCCTTCAGCCTTTATTTTTGTAAAGGTTTAAGCTGAATGGCTGAAAAAGCTTGAACAAATTGCCATTTGCAAACATATATGCAAACTTTAAACGGTCTTATCTTACTTAATTTTATTCTACAAAAAAAACAAACAAACAAAATTTTCAAGAAAGCAAAACTTACAATTTTGTACCCTACAAAATTTTGGGTATCATTAATAGTTTTTGAGTTATTTTGAAGAAGACAATTTTTTCCAAAAATACAAAACTTTTATATTCACTTCAAGCTCAATTTTTTTCAAAACTAAGCACTTTAAACCGGTCAAACTTCTAGAGCACATTACAAGTACATAAATAAAGTAAATTGTAAAGTGGTAACGATTATTTTCAATTGGACTGGTAATTAGGGGGTGATTTTCACGTTTTTTTGTCGCCGAAAACAATACGGACCAACTTTATTTTCGTCACAACTCGCTTAGGTTTGATGCTAGGGACTTTTATAAAAAATAAAAATAAAGGTTTTTTCAAGCAATTTAAAAAAGGTTCTATGAGTATTCCCTGAAAAGTGCATTGGTTTTTGGTTATTTCACGTTCAAACTTTCAATTTTGCCGTTTGACGAATAAGAACCAACCTTCAACAAGCTATTACTCCGCTTATATTGGGTCTACAGACACCATAAATACACCATTCTTTTTGTTTTTTTATAAGCTACTTTTTTTATAAGAATAATTTTTTCGATAAAATACTTACTTTTGAGTTATTCGCGAAAAACGTCTGAAAAAGTGTTTTTTTTTTTGGCTAAAATATTTACACTTTCACTCGCGAATAAGTCGAAAAGTATTGACTTTCAGAAAAAAATTTATAGAACAAAACTTGCTTAGAATTGGTCAATATATCAATTTCCAGAGTTATTTTCAATGAATCATTTTTCACCCCCGAGAAGGGGTGGCATCCACCCGCAGGGTAAAAGCAACCCTCGGTACAAGGTCAACTTTGAAGTAGAGGGTAAATAGAACCTAAATCCAAATTTTTATGAAAATCGGTGTCGTTTGGCAAAATTATACGGGAAAATGGCCATCGATTGGACTAAATCGAGAAATGAAATTATGCAGCGCTAGTAAGCCATATTTTTTTCTAAAATGGTTGAATCTATGAAAAGATAGTCAGTTGAAGCTGCGAAAATTTTAAACTTTTTCGAAACGTTGAAATTTGTTACACTGTTTCTACCAGACATGCTTCATAATCTGCAGTTCCGAGGATAAAACTGATAATCTCTAGCTTTTCAACATCTGCTTTGTTAAAAAAAACTACTATAAAAATACGCAATAATTTGGCAGCGTCGCTTCTATTCTCTTTCGACCAAGATTTTCTCGTATTTCGCCAGGAACTAAGCTTTTTACAAAGTAATTGTAATCTTTACATGAAACAACGAAAGTTCTTACCGAAATTCAAAAGGAACAATGCAAATACACCCCTTCTCATTTTATTTCTGCACTATTCCGTGTTAATTTTGTTCTTGTCGGGTCAATACTGACTGAAAATGCGATAATATTTTTTTGAATGAAATCCTACACTCTATGCGAGGTGGGTGGAAAATTCGATATCGATTACACGGAGAGTCAAACCACGAATTATATCGCACGATGATGAATATACGCGTACATACAGAGTGGTCTTTAAGTGCGTTTCGATAATAAAGGCAAATATCTGTAAATTTTAGAAAAAAAAAATATAGGTAATAGAAACCAGAAGAAATAATTTATTGAACCTTGGTACACTATAGTAGTTCCTTCAAATTCACTTCAAGTTCACTTCAAATAAAAAAGTTGGCCTATGTCAGGTCTTAAAAAAATAGCACAAGGGTTAATACAATAAGAACACTCTGTGTTGTTGTCAAGCTTTCGGAAATGTTTATTTCCTTTCTCAAGACATGAACGTGAAATTAAATTAGAAAACCATCAAAAAAGAGAAATACAAAGCCATTGTTAAAATTTATACACATAACAATTAATTTTAAAAAACAATTATAACTAACGTCACATTTTTAAAACAATTTTCGAATCAATATACTGAAAAGGAGCATTGCCTGTGAAAAGTGAGATTTTTAGACTTTTCACCCGCTGCTGCTTTCTTTTCGCCAAGGTACTCCCTTGCCTTGTTACTTGGTGATCTGTGCTGCACTAAGTCCCTAGAAATTCCTGTCGATGTTGCTGCCTTTTACTTTTCCTCCACTGACTGGTTTTGCTTTTCTCCCCTAATGAGAAATACCACGAAAACACTTTTACTAGTGAATCCGGCTCGAATGGACCAATGTTTGGTTTTGTGGTAACTAAATTGACCTTAAAGTGGATTGTATATTTGTTGACAAACGTTACAATATGACATCTATGAGAAGCCTACTTTTTTCTACGTTATTACAAACAACTAGACTTAAGCTAAGGAAACTAAGGAGCGTGCTCCACCTTAGTTCAGAATAAATAATGTACGGAAATACGTAGATAACAAGTTTATTGTACAAATATTGTAATGAAATGTGCAAAGGAAAGTTCAAAATGCATTTGAGATAGGCAAAATTTTATTCATATATTAATATCTCAATCTTCCTTGAAACATTTCAAAACATGCAATTTAAATTGGTGCTATAAGTATTTTTTTTTACTATAATGTCTCTAGAGAGTAGAAAAATAGAAGTGTTATATATCAAATTATTTGCGATATTTTAAATGTCTGTAGAAATATCAGAGAGACTGATATTTTAAAATTATGTTTGGAGCATCTGGATCATAAGAAAACGGCTTACGGAAAGGTTTCAGTTTTTCCCACAAAAAATTGTCCTCTTCTNTTAAATTAAGATTTCTTTAGGGTTTTAATTTTTTATTATTTGTATTATTATTATTTAATGTATTTATTTTATCAAACCTTTAAAAAATCCCCTACTGATTAAAATTTGCAATAAAAAATAGGGAAAATAAGAATTTTATTTTTATATGGATTTTAATGTTTTGATTTTTATAATAAATTTTTTTTGATTGCACATATAATTAATCAAAAATGTAAATACGTCTGTACCTAAAACATAGCTATAATGTGTGTATTCATCATTGCTTCAATGTACGTGTTCTGATATCTGCAAAAATATGTGATTGGTTTTTTACCCATAACTCGTTTAGTTTTTATGCTACAAAATGGTTTTTTCAAGGGCTATAGGATCAATTAAATTTTCTTTCAGCGCTTATTTTTGTAAAGGTTTGAGCTGAAAGGGCTTGAACAAGTTGCCATTTGCGAACATATGCAAACTTTAAAGGGTCTTATCTTACTTAATTTTTATTCTACAGAAAAAAACAAACAAAATTTTCAAGAAAGCAAAACCTACAATTTTGTACTCTACAAAATTTTGCGTATCATTAATAGTTTTTGAGTTATTTTGAAGAAAAAACAATTTTTTCCAAAAATACGAAAATTCTATTTTCACTTCAGGCTCAACTTTTTTCAACCTTTAAACTTTAAACCCGTCAAACTTCTAGAGCATATTACAAGTACATAAATAAAGTAAATTGTAAAGTGGTAACGATTATTTTCAATTGGGGTTCAATTAAAAAGAAAGGTTTTTTCAAGCACTTTAAAAAGGTTCTATGAGTATTCCCTTAAGAATGCATTGATTTTTGGTTAATTCACGTTCAAACTTTCAATTTTGGCGTTTGACAAATAAGAACCTACCTTCAACAAGCTATTACTCCGCTTGTATTAGGTCTACAGACGCCATAAATACACCATTCTTTTTGTTTTTTATAAGCTACATTTTTTATAACAATGATTTTTTTGATAAAATATTTACTTTTTGAGTTATTCGCGAAAAACTGTCTGAAAAAATGTTTTTTTTTTTGGTTAAAATATTTACACTTTCACTCGCGAATAAGTCGAAAAATATTGATTTTCAGAAAAAACTTTATAGAATAAAAGTTGCTTAGAATTAGTCAATATATCTATTCCCTGTGTTATTTTCAATTAAACATTTTTCACCCCCGAGAAGGGGTGGCATCCACCCCCAGGGTAAAATTTCAACTTTGAAGTAGAGGGTAAATAGAACCTAAATCCAAATTTTTATGAAAATCGGTGTTGTTTGGCAAAATTATACGGGAAAATGGCCATCGATTGGACTAAATCGAGAAATGAAATTATGCAGCGCTAGTAAGCCATATTTTTTTCTAAAATGGTTGAATCTATGAAAAGATAGTCAGTTGAAGCTGCGAAAATTTTAAACTTTTTCGAAACGTTGAAATTTGTTACACTGTTTCTACCAGACATGCTTCATAATCTGCAGTTCCGAGGATAAAACTGATAATCTCTAGCTTTTCAACATCTGCTTTGTTAAAAAAAACTACTATAAAAATACGCAATAATTTGGCAGCGTCGCTTCTATTCTCTTTCGACCAAGATTTTCTCGTATTTCGCCAGGAACTAAGCTTTTTACAAAGTAATTGTAATCTTTACATGAAACAACGAAAGTTCTTACCGAAATTCAAAAGGAACAATGCAAATACACCCCTTCTCATTTTATTTCTGCACTATTCCGTGTTAATTTTGTTCTTGTCGGGTCAATACTGACTGAAAATGCGATAATATTTTTTTGAATGAAATCCTACACTCTATGCGAGGTGGGTGGAAAATTCGATATCGATTACACGGAGAGTCAAACCACGAATTATATCGCACGATGATGAATATACGCGTACATACAGAGTGGTCTTTAAGTGCGTTTCGATAATAAAGGCAAATATCTGTAAATTTTAGAAAAAAAAAATATAGGTAATAGAAACCAGAAGAAATAATTTATTGAACCTTGGTACACTATAGTAGTTCCTTCAAATTCACTTCAAGTTCACTTCAAATAAAAAAGTTGGCCTATGTCAGGTCTTAAAAAAATAGCACAAGGGTTAATACAATAAGAACACTCTGTGTTGTTGTCAAGCTTTCGGAAATGTTTATTTCCTTTCTCAAGACATGAACGTGAAATTAAATTAGAAAACCATCAAAAAAGAGAAATACAAAGCCATTGTTAAAATTTATACACATAACAATTAATTTTAAAAAACAATTATAACTAACGTCACATTTTTAAAACAATTTTCGAATCAATATACTGAAAAGGAGCATTGCCTGTGAAAAGTGAGATTTTTAGACTTTTCACCCGCTGCTGCTTTCTTTTCGCCAAGGTACTCCCTTGCCTTGTTACTTGGTGATCTGTGCTGCACTAAGTCCCTAGAAATTCCTGTCGATGTTGCTGCCTTTTACTTTTCCTCCACTGACTGGTTTTGCTTTTCTCCCCTAATGAGAAATACCACGAAAACACTTTTACTAGTGAATCCGGCTCGAATGGACCAATGTTTGGTTTTGTGGTAACTAAATTGACCTTAAAGTGGACTGTATATTTGTTGACAAACGTTACAATATGACATCTATGAGAAGCCTACTTTTTTCTACGTTATTACAAACAACTAGACTTAAGCTAAGGAAACTAAGGAGCGTGCTCCACCTTAGTTCAGAATAAATAATGTACGGAAATACGTAGATAACAAGTTTATTGTACAAATATTGTAATGAAATGTGCAAAGGAAAGTTCAAAATGCATTTGAGATAGGCAAAATTTTATTCATATATTAATATCTCAATCTTCCTTGAAACATTTCAAAACATGCAATTTAAATTGGTGCTATAAGTATTTTTTTTTACTATAATGTCTCTAGAGAGTAGAAAAATAGAAGTGTTATATATCAAATTATTTGCGATATTTTAAATGTCTGTAGAAATATCAGAGAGACTGATATTTTAAAATTATGTTTGGAGCATCTGGATCATAAGAAAACGGCTTACGGAAAGGTTTCAGTTTTTCCCACAAAAAATTGTTCTCTTCTGTGCTTTCAACGCTCAAAAGAGCCATTTCGTGATAGTAACAGTATTGTGTCGCCTGAAAAAAAATTTCCCTGAAATAAGAGACAAGTGAATCATCAAATAACGTATCGCTATGAATAAAATAAATTTCGCGCAATGTTCTTTAATGTGCTATTACAATTTAATACTTATTTACCAAAATAGTAGTATTTATTTCAATTTTTTTCTAAAGGTATATTTGGCAAAGTATCCTTTATTGAATCCTTGTACGACTATATGGACAATTAAAATTATTGTTATATAATAATTGTTAAGGTTTCTATTTTAAACTTATGAATTGTTAAAACTCATCGACAGTCTTATGAATGCAACTGGCACTATGGACACTGTACGAAAATATAAAAATAATGTAATTTTATGATTTGTCCAGCTATCTTTCTTGCAAGCATTTTGGTGAAACACCACAAGCATACGAGTGGGACCATCTTAATTTATAGCTGATGGTAACCCGTCTTGCTGGTAGGTGGTACAGCAAACTGTAAAGCCGAGGTGTCCCAAAGGAAATTTAAATTCTCGTATTAACTAGACACAAAAAATCAGTTGTTTTGCAGATACAATATTTCCAAGATACGCAAAAAAAACAAGTCAATAACTTCTGATGTGGTACGATTAGATTCCTTAAATGTCTAAATCTAAAGATCTTTAAATAAGATAAAATGTTTTTTCAAACTCCAAAATTAACTCGGAGAAACTAAAATGAGTATGTGGTCAGTTGTCGCACCTGTGACACACTGATGAGGACTAATAAGTCCGAAACCGGTCTGTGCCTGATGGGTTGAACTGACTGACAAACGATCCTAGCTGTTGCACTAGGTGTTGCGAGTATAATTCAATGCGGTAGGGGCAAATAGCTCTCGGAGTAGTTGTTTCTCGCAACACTAACAACTCTAAAATGAGTATGTTTTCATATTGTGGATTGTTGAATTTTAAGGCGAAATATATGGTCTGGGTAGAAGCCAGCTGAATTTAATCAATTTAATATCATTTCAGTAACATATAATATAGAAAAACCACCGTACCTACTTTAAAAAAGTAATTATTTTTGGTCAAAAATAAACACCGAAAACTATTTCGGCCAAGAAATGTTTGGAGTATCAAAGATCAAAGGTTCATAAACACAATAAAAAAGGAAAGTAGATGCAGAACTAATTTATTTGACATTTTAGTATAAACTTAATTGACGCGTAGGAAGTCATTACTTAAATCCTTCTCGGCTTTATTTATTCGTATACTAGGAACTTTTTCCAGCTAGACAGTTACGCTGTGACGATTCACAAATAACATATTTCCGACCATTACAGTCATGATCATTCCACATCATACCCATATCACCTTCCGTGTCGGAATACTCGTAGATTGCTTCTAAGCATTTCTCAATGTTTTGCCAGTTGTTTGGTTCATTAGGTAACCAATTAGTGTATTCGATGAACTTTCCTGTTTCCAACCAAACCCATTGGTCGTCTGGTAGGATAGTACCCGATGTCCAAAAGTTGTATTTCTCAGCACCAACTAGAAAAATATTTTTAGGAGTGTCTGTATGATGTAACTTAAGTGAGGGTGTAATTTTTGAACACGAATCAGAAATTTTTTTTTTTTAAATCAAATAAAGTCGAGTTATGTTTAAATTTAAGCAAAATCCGATCCTGTTCCGAATGCTCACGAAGTTGCCGCTCCGTTAAAATGCCGTACTGCCGCCTCTGAAAAGCAGCTACTGCCATGTGATTTCACACCTGGTATGATATGACGGGATGGTACAGGCATAGAACGACAAATTCATACATTTTTATAAATAATTTAGCTGACCGTCAATGTCTCTCTTTTAACTTTAAACTCAAATTATATACTTCAGAAACAGAAAGTTTCTATTTCGAATTAATAAGAAAAAGGCTTACGGAATCGTTTCAGCTGCCTGATCAGAAAGTTAGTCTCTTTCGCACTTTCGACACTCAAAATTCTCATCCCATTGTAGTGACAGTACTGCATTGCTTGGAAATAGTTGCCCTAAAATAGAAGAAAGAAAAAAATTATTTCAATGTCAAGGGCTTGCTTTTTGCCGTTTATTCCGTCACCCCATAAAATTTTTTTGCTTGTGAAAATGCTCGACTCTTGTAAAACAATTTGGTATACACTTTTTGGTATACATAGATAATCCAGTGTTGTGCGCTATATTTTTGTATAATTTCCCGATTT